CTGTGAGAAAGAGTCATACAGCATTGCCTTACAGCTGTGAACTGCTTGTTAAGTATTTTGTTAGGAAATAACAGAAGTTAAATGAATTTTTTTTCCATGTTATATGCTACCACTTTAAGTGGAGGGAATGTCATTTATTTTTGCATGGATCTTTAACCATATGTGAAAAAATTTAAATGGGTGGGTGGGAGGGAGAGACACAAGATACTGTGGGAAACCACTATTATTTCGCTCCCTTTAACCAGTCACACATAAAATACTGCAAGTAAAAGTTTACTACATCTGGTATTTGTGTCAGCTTCCTCCTGCACTTATGCCTCAGACTTTGAAGGACAGTGTGCACAAAGAAGAAATCTGCTCATATTCTACTTACAGGAAATCATTCTACTATTTGTGGAAGGAGAGATTAAGTTTATTCACTTTTGATATAGAAGTGACTTTTGGGTCTCTCAACATATGTAACAGGATTGTTTATTCAGGATGTAAGACTCCAGATGCCAGATATTGGTAGCTATGAGCTGCATTATTCTCTATGATTTCAGGCAAAGCATTATAGATACTTTTGACACTTTATGAATAATAAATCAAAATTTGACCCATTTTAACGTATTGACAGAAGCTGCTCAGGAAAATAATATTCATACTTTCCTGTTCTAGCCACCTCCTGAGCCTATTACTTGTCCCCTGCTAAGAGAAAGGGAAACAAAAATTAAATTGTAACAGGTGTCTTGATAAGAGCATCAGACAAATAGTGCTGCAACCCAAAGCTACTTCAAAGATAATTGCATTGCAGTTGTTAACTATTTATTTATACATACATATACACACACTTGTAAATATTGGTGCTTAGATCAGAGTGAAAAAGAACTACTTTCTTCTTAGTGACACTAGGGTCAAATTATAATCATTACAGTACAAGTAGTAATATCCTTAAAAATACAGTCCTGTACCTATGAGCCGTATAGATTTTGTATTTCCATTACAATACTTTAATCTATGACCTTTATCCTTTTATTACGATACTATTGAAATTAGGTTGTTTGAACAAAGACATGGCTACTAATTTATTCATTGCTTTTTCTTTCTTTTTTTTAACCTAAGGGTAGTAGAAAGGTCTGAAAATGGTTTTAAATCAGATACTTTTTTTTAATCTGTGATAATGCTATCCTCATGAACACAGGGCTTTGTTGAATCTAGCAAGGACTCTGACTTTGTCCTCAGGTTAATACCAGTACACACAAAAAATCATACATTGGACCTCATGAACACGATTAGCCGCTAGCCAGAAGGGCACCTTATCAGTTCCTAAAAACAGTTTTTAACAAATATTTTGAAAATAATACATATATGCAATGCTGTGTTGTTACCACTAACACATCCATCCCAACAAGGGCTCTAGCAGTTTTTCACCACAAGGAAAAACATACATAGCATTTCCATCCTGCATTTCATATCAGCACGCTAAGCTAAATTAGCTAGCCCTTATTCTAGCTTCACACAGGAGTAAATTTAGAATAATTCCAAAGCAGTCAGCGATGTTGCACACAGCACTGGGGTGAAACCACCAAATCATGCTTCTGCTGCCCAGCTTTGTGGTGTGTGAGGACAGCAGAAATGAAACAGGCACAAAACAAAACATCTCCCTGTATCCTTGCAGGCGCAATACAGCCAGAGCCAGTCCCCAAAAGCTGCAATTCCGTAACCTACGGTATTTCCACAGCTTTAGCGTTTTGCATGTCAAACGCAAATGTTCTGACAGCTAGCACCATGGCACAGGTACAGTCTCCTTAATCATTTGTTTCCATTTTAAAAATCTGAATGAAGAAATTTCCAGTGTACTAAGATTATCCCATAACTCACGCAACATACAGCACACCTTAGTTAGAGGCACTTGAGAGAATTTTACTTTGTCCATTTTAACTTTATTTAACAACAGTCATACACCATTCGCATCAGCTCAGATTACGCATTTAATTTCCTTAAGTGCCACTCTTAAAACATCGCCATGCTTAATGTTGACGTCTAAATGGTACCATTAACGCTTTGCTGTGAACACCTCATTAAAGCAAATGGAGCAGGTAAGGAGGTAGAGCATCTGCCTTTGTTGAGGCAAATGGGGAACTGCCTGCCTTTGTTTGGCTGGGAACAGTTGAGCACGATTTCAGCCTGTGTAAATTGATGTAGCTTCATAGATTTCATCGGAGCTTCCCTGATTTATATTAGTTACAGCTAAGGCAGGGTTTCCTGTGAGCCTAGGATAACAAAGTATTCCCTGCCTCCGTAAAGTCACTTATAGAAGATGCCTCCAGAACACTGGCTGTTTATAAATTGGACAGGGGTGCATTTTTAAACAGGGGCTACTTATACATCACCTTTCCAATATCAAAGATTAACCTTTTTTTCCTTTCCCCGCCTGAATATCAAATCTGTGACAATTTACTATAGCAAGAAAAGGGTACTTTTTCCAGTTAAAAAAAAGAGGGAGGGGAGAGGAAAAAATGATTTTCCCTAACTTGCCAGAATTTCTCCTTTTGCGTAAGCTCAAGAAGAGAATATTTTTGGAAGCCCCAAATGTGTAAAAACAGAGAACAATTATTCAAGTCATTCTGCATTTTCACTCTAGTATTCCCTTCAGTGAACACAAATACATATATAAGAACTACTACAGATTTTTAAAATACATGTGTTTTAAGTGTCACAGAAGAAAAAAAAAAAGGTCCAGTATCTGTTAATGTAAACAGACAGATCAAGAGATACCTCTAAACCAACTTAAATGCAGTTTCTTTTTCTGTAGTATCTGCAGTAGAATTAATGGACTACAGAGATTTCATTCCATTCTACCACCACGGCAGTGACAGATCAGACAGACTACCTTATCTTAAACATGATTTAGCCACAGAGCTGTTGTCAGTTGCATAGCTTCCTAAAATTTGCATTACTGTCCTACCACCCTATAAATTGCCTCATATCTCCTCAGCTCCCACACCATCATGTGACCACATTGCCAACAGAGAATACAGTGGTATACCATTAACGTTTGAAAAATCCTTTGAAAACTTCAGATAAAAGCTACCATATAAGTGCAAAGTATTATTATTATTATTTCATTGATGGCAATGTGAGCTGTAACACTTTTTTCAATCTGTTACTTAAAAGAGAAAGAAAAATTAGTCAGTGCACTGTTCTCACTTTGTTTCCAAAGCCAGCAGAAACCAATGAGAAATTTACATCTTTCTGTTTCAGATACCTGCTAACCCCCTTTGCTCCAGAAGATAGAACTAGGGTTAAACATGGTCAATGCCATTTCTACTTGGTGTGGGTTTTGGGAAAAGGGAGTTAATGCATACAGTAGTAGCTATTGCTTTTCTGACAGCATGTATTCACTATGAAATGAATAGTTCAAGCCAATTGAGTAAATAGGAACATTAATTGCAAAGAATTGGCTATATTAACTTCAAAAAGCCTACATTAATGCAATGTGAAATTGTACATTCTATGATGCTTTCAAGTTCGTTTTTTCAAGTAATTTGGGCACAAAAAGTCTTAGAAAGTTTACTTAAACAAATAAATGAATGCCTCCTCCTACTCCACCCATTCCTCTAATCTATTACCTAAATGGAGTATCCTCTTTTTTTTTTCCTCCAAAATTCAACGGCAGAGAAGGCTTAAATAAGTGAAAGTAAAAGCTATTAACACTATTTTGTGACTTTGTTGATAGTGCCCATGGCAAAGCTGCCTCCTGTCACCTGCTAGTGCAGAATAAGGTGGAAATTCCCTCGCCTCCCAGCCTGGCGGGCAGGGAAACCCAGTGGTCAGCGAAGCCGAGTTACCACAGCAACCCCCGGTTATGTTTCCCAGGCAACCAGGATCCTCAAAATCGGGTGGCAATTGGCAAGCAGAGTAGTTTGGGAGAGTAAAATCTATTTTCCCACTTTGCTGAAGTAGGAGCTTTGCTGGTGGCAGGCATAGGTGATCAGGCTACAGCAGGATGTGAAGAAATGAGCAGAGGGGGCTGAAAGCTGCATGCTGGACACAGCGAGCTGATTATCATAGCTCACAGCCACGTCCAGCTCCTTAACTATCTTCAGGCTGTTTTATAGAGTGCTCAGGAAAAAAAAAAAGTACGTCTCTACTTACAGTTATTTTCTTCTATTGCTAATTTTATACAGTTAGTTACCGCTCTTACATTTCTGCCTATTTTTATGCTATATATCTCAGAAGAATTTCATGCCAGCTTTTGGGAAAGCTACATTTTTTTACTACTGCATTAACACTAGAGGACCAAATCTTGCTATTCGCATTCTTAATTCAAGCAACACTGCACTGCAGGCAATGGAAGTTTTGTCCAAGTGATAATGGCAAAATTCAGATTCAAATTAATTTTATCACAATGATCTCTGATTTAGAAAGAGGGGCACAATTAATGTCAAGCTCATCCCCAGTATTTAGGCAGGCATGGGGATAGACTTTATTATGAACTCCTTAATACAATGCCCAATTGTTATTGGCATTGACCCTGATTGTTTTATCAATACTTGGCTATCTTTTGTCTGATGAGATTAGGGAAAGGGGACAAACATTTTATAGGCATAAATATGCCTCTCTGCCTATCTTGGAGACTATCTCCAGATTTAGGAAAGTAAATATCTGAATGCAGTCACTATCTAGGCTTTCTTGAGCAGTCTTATAAAGTCGTGATAAAGTTCTACTTCTTCAAAAAGCATATTGGCTGCTAATCTTGTAACTGAAGATGATAAGAATTCAAATAGGCCAGGAGTGACCTATCTGAGAATGAAAGCTGGTGAGCATTTCCAGTTTTTAATAATGCATGTTCGTTAGAAGGAGGAACAACTCGGGAAAAGACATACAGCACAACATATTAGATGAATCCATATTTCCAGCTATTAATTAATGTCATCTGGCAAAAATTAGAATACTGCAGAATGATATGTGATTGCTGGCACAGACACAAAAAAGTAGCATTAGACAAACAAACTAACCTTGGCTTCTTTGGATATGAAAAATCACTCTGGTTTTCAAAGCTGGCTGGGCCCCAGGCTCTCACTGTACCTTCTCATGCTCCACATAATTTTCATCCTTTCTACCCTCAGAGGCCATGAGAGAAGCTGCAAGCACACCAGTTCCACTTCTTCTTGCCTGCAGAGGCTAGAGAGAGACAAGAATCAAGGTCATATCAGTGAAGATTTGCTTTTTCTTTCTGCTCTACAGGCACAGAAGACAAAAAACAGATCTCATATTATCCCCACATGAGGTTGGTGCTTTATGCTGCTAGAAATTATTGACCTTCATGACTCTCAATTAGCATGTAGACCTGATATAAAATTATCATAGGTCACAAGAAGTTTTAATTTTCTCTTCCCATAAATGGCATTAGGAAGATCAAAATTAGGCTTTTTCTGGGATTGCAATATACGGGACCGACATCCTCTGCCCTCTTTTTAAAGATACGGAATGATAGCTAAAAAAAAAAAAAAGTAAACTTTACCTATATGTGAAAAGGTTCCCTGTATTGCCTACTTAGAACTGAGTTAGCACTGTTCAGCTGTGCTCAACCTTCATTTGCTGCCACCACTGAAAGAATCTTATCCTGTGAGAAAAAAACAGTCCAATACTCACATTTCTACTTGCAAAATGTGAGAGGAGAAAATGCTCCTCTTCTGTCAGAATATTGTCCTACACTGCCCAAAAGTTAATTACCTTAAGTAAACTTATGCAAGACGAAGAAAAATTTCAGTTGAAAACTTGTGAATTAACATTCTGGAAATTAGCTATCAAGGCAGGTCATGTATACATTAAAATGTCTTCTCAGCTCGTGTGATCTTTTATCTAATTACAGAACTATAAAATTATCACTGACCACTCAAAAAAAAAAAAAAGACCATTCATTATGTCACTATTCTGCTTCTCACTCTGTCCTACTCATCTATTATACTTCAAGAGTTCCTACCACTGAAACTTTTGAGTAAACGTAAAAAGCTCCTGCAGGCATGGCGTATTCCTTCTTTCCTCCACGCTATGTACGTGCTGGCCCAAGTGTCGGAGGAGGCTCCAGGATATTGGTGCTCTACATATGCAAAATCCAAAAGATTAATGATGGACAGCATGCTGATATTTGGAGGGCAAGGCTCTTCAGCTTGCATCAGGAGGTTGTGGGGCTTCCAGTCACACAGAGAGCATGAATGAAGTATGTTAGCATATTTGGAGTCAAATGGAGTAAACAGTTAAAACAGCAGAAGGGCCAGAAGGGTCAGAGAAAGGAAAATTCATGGCCTGCCATGACATAATACCCTAGCCTTTCCAGCAGTTTCAGGCTAAGAAGATCAAGACAGCTGGTCTTTTCAGTGTATGTGCTTACAAAAATAGCAGTGGCAAGGACAAGGTTTTCCTGAAACATCTGGTTGATTTTCTGTCCTTCCAATGATTCAGCACCTCTGGGCTGGATCAAATATCTATTAGAATAATATTGGTCTGCTCACATACAAAAAGCATATTGTGTTTGCAGTAGTGCTCTCTGGGATTTCTGAAAACTCTATCCCAAATCGCTCAGTTAGCATGGGCAGAGGCTACCTGTGCTCACAGAAATATTCTGATCTCAGAAGGCCTTTGAGCTTTCTGAATCCTTTACACTATTCGGCATGTGTTGCTGCTACAAGTAGGAACCACAAACTAGGCAGTATTGCAGAGTGGAGGCATGCTGCTGCTCCTATACTACTTTATAACAAAATAGCCATGAAATGCTATTAAATTCCAAGAGCTGAACTAGCATACTAGCTGAATTCACAAGTCTACCTAAAGTCTTGAGGGTGCTACTGTAGGGGACACAGATACAACACGGTCTAGGCTGCACAAGAAGATGATATACCTCGACCCTCGACTGCTAGTTTTACTTAGGTCCTCTGTTAGGCTCAGTCCTGACATTGGACGCTCCACTAAGCTGAGATAACTGAAAATCTTCCATGAGCTTGTACTATCTCTGTCCAGTGATTAGTCTACCACTACAACAGGACTTTACACTGAGGAAAGTTCCTATACAGGTTCTTATTTTAGACACTGGCTACGAAGTCTGGCAACTCTTTCGAGGAGAGCATATCTGTGGGTTCAGCCAATATCCTAGCGATATTTCATCATAAGGTCCTTCTGAGTCATATAACCACCACTAAAAGTATTTTCTGGAGGAGAAAAGGCTCAGAAGGCAGGGCCCACTTGCCCTGCCCAAAGATGCTGTGGGGTGCTACCAGAAGGCAATACTCTTTTCTGCATTAGTGCAATCCTGTTAACTGGCAAGGCAAACCAAGCAGAGACGAAGGACTCAAAGTTTAATGAGAACGAGTAAAGAGCTCCTTCTGGTGAGCACTGCTCCATCACACCTTAGGAACAGACCCTCTATTGCTAGAACGATTCCTGGACCGTTTCGTTTATCCTTTGTTCCCTTCACTGAAAATGCTTTGTCCAGCTTACACCAAACAGGTAGCCATATTCACTCCCACCTCAGTAAGGTCAAAATGATTGAATATGCCTTGAAGATAGAAGGTACGTCAGACAAAGGAACTAAAAGCAGAAAACACTGCATCAATGACTATTTTCCCCACTATGCACAGCACAATCTGGAGCAGTGTCCCAAATGCCTTTGTGAATCAGACTTTTACCATTAGGATTACAGTTGTTAGCTTGGCTTCATCAAACATGTATGTTACTTTCTAGAGGAACTGCATAGGGTGCTTTGCAACATAATCTTGTTCAAGCTTGAAGAAGAGAGATCTTTGGAACAGCAGCAAGAGAATGGAGAGAAAAACGTGTAATCTTTGGTTTAACCTACTCGTGCTCAGTACTTGCTCTTGTCCTGCTTGCCAACAGTGATGTACCTGTTACCCTTTGCTTTCCATTGCTGGGCTAAATGTTATACTGGTAGTATTTAACATAATGATTCAGTTTTGGTTTTCTTAAAGTTTATCTTGCTTTTTTTTTCCTCCTCCTTTCAAACTTTGTTGTAGGTTAGGTGCTACATAGCAGCTCCCAGAGGAACCAGGCACTCCTTAGAGAGCTTGGCTTCTTCCCTGTTGTCTTATCCTAGTCTGCCAGCAGTCTGCCCAGCTTCATCCTACCTTTTTCCTTACTGTCCTTACAGTAACCTGAGTTACCTCATAACAGAGGAGAAAGTGCTACCTTCTACCACATTTGCACACTAGAACAGTGTTTAGTTCAGGGTTACTGTGCTGGCCTTCAGTATCTTATGTTTCCACCCCTTTTGTTCTTTTCCAGAGTTGTGCTTAAGGCCTGTTCACGAGTGCTTGCAGATCTAGTGATTTTCGTTCTAACACACTGTCAGGTTAAATCACTGGCAATGTCCTCTCACCAGGAGTCTGCAGTTCAAGGACTACCTTTGGATCAGGCATTGTATGATTCAAATAAAAAATTCACATGCAAGTGTTTGGAACTGTAGTGACAAGGTTCCACTGCTGCCTACATTTAGTGACCTTTTTTATGAGTGCGAAGGACTTGCTGCCACGGATAGAATTGTGCTGAAAAATACCACAAACACAGCGTACTCACCGAATGGGCTTTTGAGGACTTGTATACCAGACCAACCGTGTGTTACCATCTTTCTTTGTTTCTGATCAATCCTGCAAAAAGGCCAGTCCCTCACTGGCATCTCAGTCTGTGCCTGACCAGTCTCACTTCCAGAATAGTCACAAAATCAAGGGATAATTTAGGCTGGAAGAGAGATCTGGAGGTCAACCAGTCTGACCCTAACCTTGAAGCAGGTTCAAGTAGATTAGGTTGCTCACAGCTTTCCAGCTGAGGTTTGATGTCTCCAAGGACAGTGATTCCACCACCTAGCTGGACAACCTGTTGCAACACGTATCCACCCTCCCAGTGAGAAAGGTTTTCCTTATATCTCTTAGGACTTCCACATGCTCCAGTCTGTGTTCATTTGCCTCTTGCCTTGTGCACCTTCAGAGAGAGCCTGCATCTATCATCTCTGCAACTCTCCCATGAGGTACTTGCAGACAGCAGTAAAGTAGCCCTGAAGCCTTCTCCTCTTAAGGCTGAGCATACCAGCTTCTCTTTTATTCATTTCTCATTTCTTATTCTTTCTCTTTTCTTCATACCTTGTGTGCTCCAGCCCCCTAACCGTCTTGATGACCTCCACTGGACTCAGTTCAGCATCTCATCTTCATTCACCTTTAAATGTAAAGAATATGAAATCCCCAAAAGGCAGATAGCATCACTCCCTTTGCTTCCCCAGAGTCTCTAAAGAAGTTGGAATAAACTGCACCTGATCTACTGCAGCAATCCACTGTAGATTTTTTGCACCAGTCAAACTGCATTTTGTTGACTAAAGGGTTGGGAATGTATATATAACAACAGAGACTAAAACAACTTTTAATTACAAATGTAAAGCACCATCTAAACACTGTAGACACAACACAATTCAGTCTAACTTTATTGTCCCTCAGTATATAGAGATAGGAAGAGGTGGCCTAATTATGTCTCTTGGTGTTTTTTCACAATTTCATATACTAACAGTGGTGCTGTAACTACTGCTTCAGGACTTTAAATTGATCCTGTAATCACACCTGATCGGTGGCAGCACCTTGCAGATCGCTTACGGAATTCTGCAATTTGTTAAAGAACTAAAAAAAAAACTTATTATTGAGAACAGAAAACATTTTAACTCTGTAACTGGTATGTAATTCTTCTGAAAAGGGGTATCATTTAGTGCTTAACAGGATTTTTAATTTTATTTTATGCTAGATAGATACTTGGGTAGTAGGACTTTGACTGAGCAGTTGAATAACTAAAAGTCATTGCTATCAGCATGCACAGGATCCATGCTGATCACCTACCTGCAAAAAAAAAAATTGACCTTGTTTTGCTGTTTTTCTAAGTTCTGTTTGCTGGGTGCTTGCAGGAAAGCAATAGTTCTTTGCAGTTCCTGAGAATTGCACAGAAATATTGTAATTTGATCTTTTAAGATAGTGAAAAAACAATTTCACTAGTGTAACTCTAGCGAATTAAACGGAATAACTGCAACAAGGAATTTGTCCCTTTGTTTTAAAAGGGGAAATTCTCTGGGGATTTGTCTCTCCTCTCTTTTCTTTAATTAGTAAATCAGCAAAAGGCTATACTTCAAGTGGAGATAC